TCAAGAGAAATTCTATCAACGTTCCTAGCCAACTCATCAATCTTAAGCAATTTTTCTTCAATCAAAGCATTGAAATTCTTTTGCGAAGTAATAAATTATTTAATATTAGATTCAAAATCAGAGGGTATCTTATTAAAATTTTCATAAGAATTATTGTAGGAATTACCATAATTATTAGAGGAATTACTAGGATACGGCCTAGGATTAAAGTTTCCTCTATACGCGTTGTTACCAAAATTATTCCTACCAACAAAATTCACATCCATAGATTCATTATTATTCTCAATTAAAGTAGACAAAGGCATATCATTAGGATCAGAAGAAACACTTTTATTAGCAAATAATTTCATAAGTTCATCCATCTTTCCACTCAAAACATTAATTTCTTCTATCGCATGCACTTTCTTATTAGTAGATCTTTCAGTGTGCCATTGAGAATAATTAACCATAATATTATCTAGGAGTTTAGTAGCTTCTCCTAAAGTGATTTCCATAAAGGTGCCTCCCGCGGCCGAATCTAAAAGATTTCTAGAAGCAAAATTCAATCCGGCATAATTTTTTTGTATAATCATCCATAAATTCAAACCATGTGTAGGGCAATTACATACCATTAATTTCATCCTCTCCCAAGATTGTGCAACATGTTCATGATCAAGTTGCTTAAAATTCATGATATCGTTTCTAAGAGAGATGATCTTAGCAGGAGGAAAATACTTAGAGATAAAAGCATCTTTGCACTTATACCACGAATCAATATATTTTTAGGCAAAGACGAAAACCAAGCTTTAGCACGATCTCTAAGCAAAAAAGGAAATAGCTTCAATTTAACAATAGCATTGTCCACATCTTTCTTCTTTTGCATATCACACAAATCAACAAAGTTGTTTAGATGGGTAGCGGCATCTTCACTAGGAAGGCCGGAAAACGGATCTTTCATGACAAGATTCAAAAAAATAGCATTAATTTCACAAGATTCAGCATCGGTAAGAGGAGCAATCGGAGTGCTAATAAAATCATTGTTGTTGGTTGATAACTCACAAGTATAGGGGATCACAACAGTTTTTGAGGGAAGAGTATTCAACCCAAATTTATTGATTCGACACAAGGGGAGCCAAAGAATATTCTCAAGTATTAGCAGCGGAGTTGTCAATTCAACCACACCTGGAAACTTAATATTTGCAGCAAAGTATTTAGTAGCAAAGTAATATGATAGTAGTGGTAACGATAGCAAAAGGTAACAGTAACAAAAGTAGTGTTTTTGGTATTTTGTAGTGATTGTAACAGTAGCAACGGAAAAGTAAATAAGCAAAGAACAATATACGGAAAGCTCGTAGGCAATGGATCAGTGATGAGAATTATGCCGGATGCGGTTCATCATGTAACAGTCATAACCTATTGTGACACAGAACTAGCTCCAATTCATCAATGTAATGTAGGCATGTATTCCGAATATAGTCATATGTGCTTATGGAAAAGAACTTGCATGGCATCTTTTGTCCTACCCTCCCGTGGCAGCGGGGTCCTAGCGGAAACTAAGGGATATTAAGGCCTCCTTTTAATAGAGTACCGGACCAAAATATTAACACATAGTGAATACATAAACTCCTCAAACTACGGTCATCACCGGGAGTGATCCTGATTATTGTCACTTCGGGGTTGCCGGATCATAACACATAGTAGGTGACTATAGACTTGCAAGATAGGATCAAGAACTCTCATATATTGATGAAAACATAATAGGTTCAGATCTGAAATCATGGCACTCGGGCCCTAGTGACAAGCATTAATCATAGCAAAGTCATAGCAACATCAATCTTAGAACATAGTGGAGACTAGGGATCAAACCCTAACAAAACTAACTCGATTACATGATAAATCTCATCCAACCCATCACCCTCCAGCAAGCCTACGATGGAAATACTCACGCACGGCGGTGAGCATCATGAAATTGGTTATGGAGGAAAGTTGATGATGACGATGGCGACAGATTCCCCTCTCCGGAGCCCCGAACGGACTCCAGATCAGCCCTTCCGAGAGGTTTTAGGGCTTGGTGGCGGCTCCATATCATAAAACGCGATGAATCCTTCTCTCTGATTTTTTTTCTCCCCGAAAGCAAATATATAGAGTTGGAGTTGAGGTCGGAGGAGCTCCAGGGGGCCCATGAGGTAGGCCCCCCACCCTCGTGGCTAGGGTGTGGGCCCCCTAGTCTTCATCTTTTGCAGGGATTTTTTATTATTTCCAAAAAGACGTTCTGTGAAGTTTCAGGTCATTCCGAGAACTTTTTTTCTACACATAAATAACACCATGGCAATTCTGCTAAAAACAGCGTCAGTCCGGGTTAGTTCCATTCAAATCATGCAAATTAGAGTCCAAAACAAGGGCAAAAGTGTTTGGAAAAGTAGATACGACGAAAACATATCATTGGTATTAGTAAAGTCACACAATTTGGTATTATCTTGAGCCATCATGACAAGCAAGCAATCCAACACACAATCAAACAAGAGACGGGCAAAAGGAGGCAAATAGAGAAAGAGAAGGAGGACAGAGAAAGAGGGCGAATAAAACAACAAGGGTGAAGTGGGGGGGGATGAGAGGCAAATGGCAAATAATGTAATGTGGGAGATAAGGGTTTGTGATGGGTACTTGGTATGTTGACTTTTGCGTAGACTCCCCGGCAACGGCGCCAGAAATCCTTCTTGCTATCTCTTGAGAACTGCGTTGGTTTTCCCTTGAAGAGGAAAGGGTGATGCAGCAAAGTAGCATAAGTATTTCCCTCAGTTTTTGAGAACCAATGTATCAATCCAGTAAGAGGCCACGCATGAGTCCCTCGCACCTACACAAACAAATAAAATCCTCGCAACCAACGCAATAAAGGGGTTGTCAATCCCTTCACGGTCACTTACGAAAGTGAGATCTGATAGATATGATAAGATAATATTTTTGGTATTTTTATGATAAAGATGCAAAGTAAAGAAAGCAAAATAAACGGAAAAGGAAATAGCTTGTTGACGGAAGATTAATATGATGGAAAATAGACCTGGGTGCCATAGGTTTCACTAGTGGCTTCTCTCGAGAGCATAAGTATTACCGTAGGTAAACAAATTACTGTTGAGAAATTGACAGAATTGAGCATAGTTATGAGAATATCTAGGTATGATCATGTATATAGGCATCACGTCCGAGACAAGTAGACCGACTCCTGCCTGCATCTACTACTATTACTCCACACATCGACCGCTATCCAGCATGCATCTAGAGTATTAAGTTCAAAAGAACAGAGTAACGTTTTAAGCAAGATGACATGATGTAGAGGGATAAACTCATGCGATATGAAATAAACCCTATCTTGTTATCCTTGATGGCAACAATACAATACATGCCTTGCTACCCCTACTGTCACTGGGAAAAGACACCGCAAGATTGAACCCAAAGCTAAGCACTTCTCCCATTACAAAAAAGATCAATCTAGTAGGCCAAACCAAACTGATAATTCGAAGAGACTTGCAAAGATAACCAATCATACATAAAGAATTAAGAGAAGATTCAAATATTGTTCATAGATAAACTTGATCATAAACCCAGAATTCATCGGTCTCAACAAACACACCGCAAAAGAAGATTACATCAAATAGATCTCCACAAGAGAGGGGGAGAACTTTGTATTGAGATCCAAAAAGAGAGAAGAATCCATCTAGCTAATAACTATGGACCCGAAGGTCTGAAGTAAACTACTCACACTTCATCGGAGAAGCTATGGTGTTGATGTAGAAGCCCTCCGTGATCGATGCCCCCTCCGACGGAGCTCCGGAAAAGGCCCCAAGATGGGATCTCACGGGTACAGAAAGTTACGGCGGTGAAATTAGGGTTTTGGCTCCGTATCTGATAGTTTGGGGGTACGTAGGTATATATAGGAGGAAGAAGTACGTCGATGGAGCAACATGGGCCCCATGAGGGTGGAGGGCGCGCCTGGGGGTGGGGGGTAGGCGCGCCCCCTACCTCGTTGCCCTCCTGGTTGCTTTCTTGACGTAGGGTCCAAGTCCTCTGGATCATGTTCGTTCCGAAAATCACGTTCCCGAAGGTTTCATTCCGTTTGGACTGTGTTTGATATTCTTTTTCTGTGAAACTCTGAAATAGGCAAAAAAACAGCAATTTTGGGCTGGACCTCCGGTTAATAGGTTAGTCCCAAAAATAATATAAAAATGTATAATAAAGTCCAATAATGTACAAAATAGGATATAATATAGCATGAAACAATAAAAAATTATAGATATGTTGGAGACGTATCAATATACAATTTATTTATATGCATTTGGTTGTCCGTTTGATGTTGATTTCGCTGTGCGTTGGTTGATCACGTAGAGTAGGTCACGTTGATCAATGCGTAGTATTGATATAGGATGCCGGATATGAGGTCCATTGATGTGGAGGAAAATTTAAGGCGTGACCGTTCAGTGCCTGTGGACGCGCCTGCGAGCGTCCGCATGCGTTTGAGGGCTCGAATTTGCCGTAGCTGCTCTTAGGATATTATTTTTTCTAAATTAGGCTTTGAGGATGACAATGTTTTCCGTGATGGCATTGGGGGTGGGGGGGGGGGTAATATCTTTCAGTTACAAAAAATGTAATTGCCTAATTGTTGTGCTTTTATGAGATGCCAAATTGACCGTTACCCATTTTTATGAGATTTTCTAGCATGATTCTATATTTTAAACCATATTTTTCTTTTATTAAAGTATTGTAATTGTAATTATAGAAACGATGATAGATATTTCTATAAAAATTCCTGTAAACCAAAGAAGGCCTTGCTCCTTGGTCTCTGCTCGGAGAGAAGTAAAAAAAAAACAAGTGGTGCCATAGGCAGGTGCAAACCAAACGACATATCAATTGTAATCGCATGCACAGCTAACTGCAATCTTATCTTTTCACGTCTAGAAGACCATATTCAACGTCTCACTACATTTTTGGTAAATCTTTTGACGAATTAATATAGCAAGGAATCTAAGTCATGACAAGTACGCAGGGTGTTCGTCCTCGTCATCGCAAGCTATAAGAGCTTTAAAAATGTCGTCCATGGTCGGCCTGCTGCTCCTCTCCTCCATGCACGACAAGGAGATCTTCAACATTTCCATGGCTTGTTGAGGGTTGAACAGCCCGTTCAGCCTGCTATCCACCAACGACACGACGTCTCCACTCGCCACCACCTGCTTCAGGGCCTGCACAATTTGGCTCATCTGCAGCCGCTCGGCGCGGTCCACTGTCGTCTGTTCAGTTATCCGGCTTCCCATCAGGATCTCCAGAAGCACAATGCCATAGCTGTAAACATCGACCTTTGCGTCAATCGGTAGCCCCAGCACCCACTCGGGTGCCATGTACCCTGCCGTCCCCCTCATCTGGGAGAGCTGCATGCCGTCGGCGACGGCTTTCCTCCCGGATAGCTTGGACAGCCCGAAGTCGGCGATCTTTGGATCGAGGTCTCGAGTGAGTAGGATGTTCTCCGGCTTGACGTCACAGTGGATGACCCACTCCAGACACTCGTGGTGGAGGTAGGCTAGGCCCTTGGCCGCGCCCAGTGCGATCTTGAACCGCTCTCTCCATGCCAGCGCCTTGCCGATGTCCTCGCCGAACAGGTGCCTGTCCAGCGACCTGTTCTCCACGTACTCGTACACCAGCAGCTTGTGCTTTCCCTCGGAGCAGAACCCCCAGATCCTCACCAGGTTGATATGGTTGATCCTCCCAAACACCGCCATCTCCGCCCAGAACTCCTCCTCGCCCTGCACCACGTTTGTCAGCTCCTTCACCGCCACCACGGTGGTCTTGTCAAGCACGCCGCGGTACACCACGCCGGAACCGCCGCGACCGAGCTCCTCGTTGAAGTTTCCGGTTGCTTTCTTGAGCTCTCGATATGTGAACCTTCTGAACTGGGTCCCCATGACCAGCCGGTAGCCGGCCATCAGCGAACTGGGCATGCTCTCCTGGCCTGACAGGAACCACCACGCCGTGGCGATGAAGAGGGCCTCGAGAAATCCTAGCACCGCTGCGAACCAAAAAAGATAGGACAAATTTGGGCCGCTGCTTGGTGTCCCGTACGTGTCCGCGTATGCTGGCGGGACGATGGCGGCATTTTGATCGCAGTCGAGTACCGCGGGTGGCGGCGTTGCCGGGGCGTTGAGGTCGCTAGGCAGCTTGAGATATATGGTCCCTTCGGGCGTGGGCGACGTGTAACCGTTGAACAAGATGCCCTTGGGATAGCAACCGCCCTTGCCATCCGTCCTGTATTGGAAGGCGGCGCAGGAGCACATACTCAAGCAGATGGTCTTGCAGTATTGGAACGTGACGGACTGGTTGAACCCGAGGTCGTAGCCGTAGAAGTCGGTGTGCGCCACCTTGACGAACGTGAACCGCTTTTCCGACGTGCTGCAGTTGGTGGCGGTGGTGGTGGGTAGGCTGAAGGTGGGGTTGCAGCCCTTCCTCCAGTCCCGGCGGTCCACCATCTCGTACCCCGGCGCGCAGGAGCACCGGAGGAACGGCTGGTACTCGCAGACGGCGTTCTTGCCGCACAGCCCACGGACGGAGCACGGCTGCTTGACCGCAGCCCACGTGACAGTCCATCCTCCGGCCGCGTCGAGGCTGTACATCCTCACGTTTCCGTCCTGCTCGATGGTTAGCCGCCTCTTGACCCCGGAGGCGCCCAGGTCGGAGGCCTCGACTCGCAGGTTGTCGCTGGAGAGGAACACGCCGGTGTCGTCGAGGACGCCGATGCGTGAGCTGTTGTAGTTGGTCCGGCCGTTGTCGAACACGCTTATGCCCGGGTTAGGCCAGTAGATGCTGGCGATCTCCGGGCCGTCGTAGAGGAGCCGCAGCACGTTGTCGTTGTCGTAGTAGAGGGCGTAGTAGCCGGCGACGAGCTTCCTGTCCTTGGTCAGCGCCTGCGACGGGAGCAGGGTGTCCGTCGGCCAGTCGAAGCTCTGCCACACGGGACGGCCGGTGGACGGGTCCACGACCCGAAGATTGCCGGTGTCGAGGAGGGAGACGGTGAAGTAGTTGTTGCTGGCTGCCTTACTGTCCCACACAGTCGTCCCGTTGGCGTCGGCGAGGGCTAGCTTGCCGTCGGCACCGAAGGATACACGGGAAACCCGGCCGTTCACGGGGGCGCCGGGGTTTGCCGTCCAGACGGCGGTCCTGTCCGTGGCCGCGGTGAACCAGACGGAAAAGTAGAAGGCGTTGTCGACTTCGCCGGCTGGGAGGAAGCCACAGGAGAAGGTGGCGTCCGGCGACACCAGGAAGGGCCGCTCGTGATCTTCCACGGACAGGGATGACCCGGCGCCCAGCGTGTGTCCTACCGATGCTGCAGCACAGGAGCGCAGCGCAAGAAGAGAGATGAGTGGAAGGAGGACTATAAGACTAATCACGAATCTAGCCATGGTCCATGGAATTAATGTCGCGATGGATGTGAGGTACCTGTAGTTCTACTATTTATTGTATTTGTTTTACGTCAGGCCACTTGCATTGTGTTTATTCAACTCTCTATACATACGCCAACGGAGACTAGACAGCCACGTTCATAATACTGTGGAATTGGACTTGTGACTCACTCCTGCACCGTACCATACCAACTTGTTGGACGGATCTTGTATTGGATCCGGTGCAAGTTTTTCTTCGGAAAACTTCAGATCTAATCATTAAAAATGCCACGTCTAACTGTCCCCCGTGTCGTCCCCGCCAGGGCGACTCGGATGTCACCCAAACCTTAGCCACCATGGGCGCGCACTCCCGCCTCCCCTGCCTTCGTCATCGCCGGGGGACGCCGCCGGGCTACGCCCGGGGAGCGACGGGCCGACGGTTGTGGTGGGGGACTCCCTCTCTCTCGTGTCTCAGGGGTGGTGCGGGGCCTCTACACGTGTGGAGGCGCGACCGATCTAGCGAAGCGGCAAAGATGGCTGTGGTCGGCCCTGTCTCGTGCGACGACGGCTGCAGGCGCGTCGGGCAGCCCGGTCACGCGTGGCATCGTGCGGCGGCTTGCCTAGTTCGGGTGGCAGCGATGCGGCCGGCAACGGCGGCTCGCTATGAGGCGGCGGCGCGCCATCTAGATTCGGACCGGCGGCGGCGTGGAGGGCCTGGTGGACTGCTCGGTGGCACCTCTGTTCTGGCCGATGCAACCGGCCATGGTGGTCATCTCCTCCGTCGAAGGTGGTTGGCCTGAGGTTGGATGGTCGGATCTCGAGATCTGTCATCTAGTCCAGGCTGCGAGTTGGGAGACATAGTTGCGATGAAAACTGAGGCGACGGCAGGCGATGGCGGCGTTCTGCATCATTACCTTGATGAAGGCATCATCATGTAACTACTGTTGACCCACTCGTGTTGCTCCGTGGGAAACCATAGGATCCGGTCTTCCAGATCGGACGATGGCGGCACTACGGTGTCGTTTCTCTTTTGGGAGTATCGTTTGTGGAGCAGTGCTGAAGAGAGAGGCGGCAGGTGGTGCAGCTTCGTCTTGAACGGGGCTTCGCTGGAGATGTCAAGTCATGCCTGGACGACAGGTGCTATGTTGTGTTATGACTGTTCAGCAGGTTCTACGCATGATAGATCTTCCAGAGTCTCCACGTCGGGATGGACAAGAGCACGACGGTGGAGTCGTTAGGCACCGTGGTGGCCTCGATGGATGACCGGACTGGCAAGGATGATGCTGATGTCTCTCCTAAAGATGGGACAGTGGTTCGATGATGATGGCGGCTTCTAAAGCGTGTGCATGTGGTGTATGCTTTAGGTCTGTTGCACCGGTTGTTGGTTCCGATACATTATATGGATGGATCGGCGACGACATCGGTTATAGATATGGGGAGTGAGAGCACTCCATATTACGTTGTTCCCTTTGTCATCGGTATGTTACTTGCCCGAGATTCGATCATCGGTATCTTAATACCTAGTTCAATCTCGTTACCGGCAAGTCTCTTTACTCGTTCTGTAATACATCATCCCGAAACTAACTCATTAGTTGCAATGCTTTCAAGGCTTAAGTGATGTGCATTACCAAGAGGGCCCAGAGATACCTCTCCGACAATCGGAGTGACAAATCCTAATCTCGAAATACGCCAACCCAACATGTACCTTCGGAGACACCTGTAGAGCACCTTTATAATCACCCAGTTAGGTTGTGACGTTTGGTAGCACACAAAGTGTTCCTCCGGTAAACGGGAGTTGCATAATCTCATAGTCATAGAAACATGTATAAGTCATGAAGAAAGCAATAGCAACATATTAAACGATCAAGTGCTAAGCTAACGGAACGGGTCAAGTCAATCACATCACTCTCCTAATGATGTGATCCCGTTAATCAAATGACAACTCATGTCTATGGCTAGGAAACATAACCATCTTTGATCAACGAGCTAGTCAAGTAGAGGCATACTAGTGACACTCTGTTTGTCTATGTATTCACACAAGTATTATGTTTCCGGTTAATACAATTCTAGCATGAATAATAAACATTTATCATGATATAAGGAAATAAATAATAACTTTATTATTGCCTCTAGGGTATATTTCCTTCAGTCTCCCACTTGCACTAGAGTCAATAATCTAGTTCACATCGCCATGTGATTTAATACCAATAGTTCACATCACCATGTGATTAACACCCATAGTTCACATCGACATGTGACCAACACCCAAAGGGCTAGAGTCAATAATCTAGTTCACATCGCTATGTGATTAAAAACCAAAGAGTACTAAGGTGTGATCATGTTTTGCTTGTGAGAGATGTTTAGACAACGGGCCTGCCACATTCAGATACGTACGTATTTTGCAAATTTCTATGTCAACATTGCTCTGCACGGAGCTACTCTAGCTAATTGCTCCCACTTTCAATATGTATCCAGATTGAGACTTAGAGTCATCTGGATCAGTGTCAAATCTTGCATCGACGTAACCCTTTACGACGAACCTTTTGTCACCTCCATAATCGAGAAACATATCCTTATTCCACTAAGGATAATTTTGACCAATGTCCAGTGATCTACTCCTAGATCACTATTGTACTCCCTTGCCAAACTCAGGGCAGGGTATACAATAGGTTTGGTACACGGCATGGCATACTTTACAGAACCTATGGCTGAGGCATAGGGAATGACTTTCATTCTCTCTCTATCTTCTGCCGTGGTCGGGTTTTGAGTCTTACTCAACTTCATACCTTGTAACACATGCAAGAACTCCTTTTTGACTGTTCCATTTTGAACTACTTCAAAATCTTGTCAAGGTATGTACTCATTGAAAAACTTATCAAGCGTCTTGATCTATCTCTATAGATCTTGATGCTCAATATGTAAGCAACTTCACCGAGGTCTTTCTTTAAAAAACTCCTTTCAAACATTCATTTATGCTTTGCAGAATAATTCTACATTATCTCCGATCAACAATATGTCATTCACATATACTTATCAGAAATGCTGTAATGCTCCCACTCACTTTCTTGTAAATACAGGCTTCACCGCAAGTATGTATAAAACTATATGCTTTGATCAACTTATCAAAGCGTATATTCCAACTCCGAGATGCTTGCACTAGTCCATAGATGGATCGCTGGAGCTCGCATATTTTGTTAGTACCTTTAGGATTCACAAAATCTTCTGGTTGCATCATATACAACTCTTCTTTAATAAATCCATTAAGGAATGCAGTTTTGTTTATCCACTTGCCAGATTTCATAAAATGCGGCAATTTCTAACATGATTCGGACAGACTTAAGCACAGATACGAGTGAGAAACTCTCATCGTAGTCAACACCTTAAACTTGTCGAAAACCTTTTTGCGACAATTCTAGCTTTGTAGATAGTGATACTACTATCAGCGTACGTCTTCCTCTTGAAGATCCATTTAATATCAATGGCTCGCCGATCAATGGGCAAGTCAATCAAAGTCCATACTTTGTTCTCATACATGGATCTCATCTCAGATTTCACGGCCTCAAGCCATTTCGCGGAATCTGGGCTCATCATCGCTTCCTCATAGTTCGTAGGTTCGTCATGGTCAAGTAACATGACCTCTAGAATAGGATTATTGTACCACACTGGTGTGGATCTCACTCTGGTTTACCTACGAGGTTCGGTAGTAACTTGATCTGAAGTTACATGATCATCATCATTAGCTTCCTCACTAATCGGTGTAGTAGTCACAGGAACAGATTTCTGTGATGAACTACTTTCCAATAAGGGAGCAGGTACAGTTACCTCATCAAGTTCTACTTTCCTCCCACTCACTTCTTTCGAGAGAAACTCCTTCTCTAGAAAGGATCCATTCTCAGCAACGAATATCTTGCCTTCGGATATGTGATAGAAGGTGTACCCAACATTTTCTTTTGGGTATCCTATGAAGACGCACTTCTCCGATTTGGGTTTGTTCTTATCACGTTAAAAAAAATTCACATAAGCATTGCAACCTCAAACTTTAAGAAACGACATCTTAGGTTTCTTGCCAAACCATAGTTCATATTGTGTTGTCTCAACGGATTTAGATGGTGCCCTATTTAACGTGAATGCAGCTGTCTCTAATGCATAACCCCAAAACGATAGTGGTAAATCGGTAAGAGACATCATAGATCGCACCATATCTAATAAAGTACGGTTACGACGTTCGGATACACCATTACACTGTGGTGTTCCAGGTGGCATGAGTAGTGAAACTATTTCACATTGTTTTAACTGAAGGCCAAACTCGTAACTCAAATATTCTCCTCCACGATCAGATCGTAGAAACTTTATTTTCTTGTTATGATGATTTTCCACTTCACTCTGAAATTATATGAACTTTTCAAATATTTCAGACTTTTGTTTCATCAAGTAGATATACTCATATCTGCTCAAATCATCTGTGAAGATCAGAAAATAATGATACATGTCGTGAGCTTCAATATTCATCGGACCACATACATCAGTATGTATGATTTCCAACAAATTTGTTGCTCGCTCCATTGTTCCAGAGAACGGAGTCTTAGTCATCTTGCCCATGAGGCATGGTTCGCAAGCATCAACTGATTCATAATCAAGTGATTCCAAAAGCCCATCAGCATGTATTTTCTTCATGCGCTTTACACCAATATGACCTAAACGGCAGTGCCATAAATAAGTTGCGCTATCATCATTAACTTTGCATCTTTTTGTCTTGAATATTATGAATATGTGTATCACTACGATCGAGATCCAACAAACCATTTTTGTTGGTGTGTATGAACATCGAAGGTACTATTCATGTAAACAGAACAACAATTGTTCTCTAACTTAAAAATGAATAACCATATTGCAATAAACATGGTCAAATCATATTTATGCTCAACGTAAACACCAAATAACACTTATTTAGGTTCAACACTAATCCTAAAAGTATAGGGAGTGTGCGATGATGATCATATCAATCTTGGAACCACTTCCAA